AGGGAGGGATCACCGGACGAGGCTGATTCCCCCAGCCCAGGAACATGGCCTGCCCGCCACTGAGATGGAACAGGACCGCAGGCAGCTCCCGCCTCCGCCTAGGCTGGCAAGCACCAAGTAGGGTAGTCTACCCCCGACGGAAGGCCAAGAATGGAGATAGACCCTCTTTAGGCAGAGGCACTCAGGGAAGGTGTAGAGCCAAGGGTGTAGCAGGAATATTGCAAACCCGGCCACCCTCTGCCACCAAGAACACGGCAACGCCAGGGGAACTTGAAGCCAGTGAGGCGCAGAAGGTGACCTAACACCAACCAACCCTGATCCAGCTCAGCTCACGACGTGGGCGACTCACCCCCTCCCACTGACAGCCTGGCAGGAGAAAAGGCGTGCCCGTTTCCGGGCACATTCTTCCTTCAGTCTGCCCACCGCCCTGCACAAATCTGGAGTTCATTAAAAATATTACAAGACACGCCAGACAGCAGGGAAAAACAACCCACTGCCCGGAAACAGATCACTCCACAGGGCCGGACTCAGGTGATCTAGGTGTTGACAGTATTAGGCCGGAATTTTTAAATAATTAAAAGATTAATAAGCTGAAGCCTCCCATGGAAAATGTAGAATACATGCCTGAAGAGATGGGGGAACTTCAGCAGGGAGTTGCAGACTATAAGGAAGAGTCCCATGGAAACTGGAAGAAAAACCCACGTAAATCAGACAAAGGCTCGTCAGGAAGCTCAACACGGCTGAGGGAAGAAGCAGTGAGCTTGAAGGTCAATAGAAATGACCAAAACTGTGGGGCGCCTGGGTGGCGCAGTCAGTTAAGCGTCCGACTTCAGCCAGGTCACGATCTCGCGGTCCGTGAGTTCGAGCCCCGCGTCAGGCTCTGGGCTGATGGCTCAGAGCCTGGAGCCTGTTTCCGATTCTGTGTCTCCCTCTCTCTCTGCCCCTCCCCCGCTCATGCTCTGTCTCTCTCTGTCCCAAAAATAAATAAACGTTGAAAAAAAAAAAAAAAGAAAAGAAATGACCAAAACTGAAACACAAAGAGAAGAAAGAATGGAAAGAGAAAAAATAAAAATAAAAATAAAAATAGGGCACCAGAGCTGTGATGATATCAAACAGCTGGAAGAGATAATGAATGGCATATAGATATAGATATAGATATAGATATAGATATAGATATAGATATAGATAGATATAGACATTATACATATCTATCTATATCTATATCTATCTGTATCTATATCAATATCTAGCTCCTAATAATGAAAGACATCAAACTACAGATCAAGAAGTCTCAGAGAACCCCAAGCAGGATAAGTGAAAAACCTACCACCCCCCCCCCAAAAAAAAACCCTCCTAGACACAACATATTCTAACTGCTACAAAGGTAGGAGAAAGAGAGAAAATTGAGGACACAGCTTACAGAGGAACAGAGATAGGAATCCAAGCAGATGTCTTGTCAGAAACTATGCCAGCCAGGGATAATAATGTCTTTAAAATACTCAAAGGAAAGCACTGGCAAGCCCCAAGTCCATACCCAGAGAAAAAACATCTTTCACAAATGCAAGAGAGATAAAGACTTGTTCAAACAGACACAAATGGAGAGAATTCATCTCCTGCAGACTTGCGGCACAAGAACTAAAGGAAATTCTTCAGACGAAGGAACGTGTTAACAGACTTGGATCTACACCAAACAGTGAGGATTTCCAGAGAGTAAGGTAAATATAAAGGGCATTGTTTTTCTTATTTGTAGAAAATGTTTGCTTTTTAGAGAGAGACAGAGAGACAGAGAGAGAGAGAGAGAGAGAGCATGCGAGCAGGAGAAGGGCACAGAGAGACAGGGGGACAGAGGACCCAAAGTGGGCCCTGCCCTGACAGCAGAGAACCCGATTCAGGGCTCAAACTCACTAACCATGAAATCATGAGCTGAGCCAAGTCGGAAGACTGAGCCACCCAGATGTCCCTCGTTTTTCTTCTTTTTAATCACTCTGAAAGGTACTGACTTTCTAAAGCAAAAATAGTGGTGTTTGAAGAGTTGATCGAACACGGGCGCCGGGGTGGCTCAGATGGTGAAGTGCCCGACTTCAGCTCAGGTCATGATCCCACGGTTTGTGGGTTTGAGCCCCAGGTCGGGTTCTGTGCTGACAGCTCAGAGCCTGGAGCCTGTTCGAATTCTGTGTCTCCCTCTCTCTCTGCCCCTCCCCTGCTCATGCTCTCTCTCTCTCTCAAAAATAAATACACGTTAAAACAATTAAACATTAAACATTAAATTAAATTTTAAATTAAAATTTAAAACATTAAATTGTTAAAAATTAAAATTTTTAGTTTTTCAAGAATGCCTTAAAAAAATTAGAAGTCAACTTGCCTGTCAAGGGATATGAAGCAGAGGTGGATTTGGGGAGGGCCTGGGTGATGGGCTGAATTGTGTCCCCCAAATTCATGTGTTGAAGCCCTAAACCCCAGGTCCCCAGAACGTGACCTTATTTGGAGCTAGAGTCTTAACAGAGGGGATCAAGTTGAATGAGACGTGAGGGCGGGTCCCGATCCCGTAGGACTGGTGTCCTCATAAAAAGGAAAGAACGTGGACACAGACACACATGGGGGAGCGCGGGCCGAACAGAGGGCCCTTCCCTCACGGGCCTCAGGAGGACTCTCAGAAGGAAGCAGACACCTTGACGGCAGATGTCACACCTCAAGAAGTGGGGGACACCACCCAGCGCGTCCTACTTTGTTCGAAGAGCCCTGGGAAGCGGATACGGCCTGTAGCGCATTGGGGGAAGCATCAGGCTTCCCGTCTACACCTCCCAAAGCCTGTTACGTGAACCTCACAGTTGTGCCAGGTAATTTGGGGTGGCACAGGATGAATTACTTTGATTTACAGAACCATGTATTTGTCTTACTGGGTAAATGCTTCTAAGAACAGTTATGCCTTTTAAGGGCGACTAAAATGCGGGTTTCGATGCTATTCACCATAGAAAATACAGTAAAACCTTGGTTTGCGAGCATTACTCATTCCGGAAACATGCGTGTACCCAAAGCATTTGCATATCAGGGCGAATTCCAAGAACCGTTGGCTCAGGTGTGATCATGTGACCTTCGGCGTCACGTGCTACCCGTAAGGCAAGACAGCGCTCGTTTATCAGGTTAAAATTTATTAGACATGTTTGCTTGTCTTGCGGGACCCTGGCAGAATTTCCTCGCGATCCAAGGTTTTACTTCTAGGTAACATCTAACACTTGTGGATGTTCAGGTATTATTGCTTATTATCAGTCAGAATGCAGGAAATGCAGCGTGTGGTCAGAGTCGGTGTAGAAAAAAAGGTGAGTTGATTCAAAGAAGAATATTAAGCCACGAACAGTGCAGCTTGGTGGCCAGATGGGGCCAAAGGTGGGTGCCAACGAGAACGCTCCTGCTGATGTCCGGGCAATTAGCCTGGGGCTTTCAGAGCAGCGCGGCACTGGGCTCAGCCTGTGCCTTCCCCACCACACACACACACACACACACACACACACACACACTGCACTGTGCTTTACTGTGCCTAAGGAGGCACGGTGGTGGGGAATTTGTTTAATAAAACAAATGTAAAGAGCCCAGGCCTCTGGTGGCAGGCACGCCTCCTTCAGGCCATTTAGCGTTCCCCTCTCTCTGGCTTCCCCTCTTGAACGAAAAGGCACAACACAGTTCAGCGTGTACCCCCCCCCCCACCCGCTTCCCACCCAGCACACGTCAACGAGCTCGGTTGGTCGAGAGCCTGGTGGGACCATCAGCTTGCAGGTCCTCAGAAACCAGGCGGACCCCTTGTGGTGGCAGCGGGAAGGGTGGGATGTCCAGAGTCATCACGGGGGAGACACGACGAAAACCAGAGAAAGGGAGGAGCGGGCAGCCGGGGAAGGTTTTATTTCTAAAAAAAGGGCTCTTGGGGGTTGTGGCCAGCAGGTAGGTATGACTTCACTGCAGGTGTTTAGGTGATGGCGACCTACAGTGGAGACTTGGATAAAGTTGGTGACAGGCCTCCCTCCCTCGCACCTCCCTCCCTCCAGCTCTTTTCTCCCCCTTTGTCTTCTTTCCTCCCCACCTCTCCCCCCTCCTCCGCCTCCCTCCCCGTGCCTTCACCTCTCTCCCCCTTCCTCCACCTGTCTCCCCCCTCCTCCGCCTCTCTCCCCTACCCCCATCTCTCTCCCGGTCTCACCCTGCCCCCATTTCACGAGGTCGGGCCTCCCTCCTCCGCAGGAGCGCACAGGACCTCAAGGCCGCCTTCCGGGGCGCGCGCGCACGGCTGTCCGCTCGTGGTCCGGCCGAGGCGCCCCCACCTCCCAGAGCGCGCGGCGCCGGGGGTCCCGGGCCCGCCCGCGCTCTCCTGGGTGGGCTGCCTGCGCTCCGGGAAGCAGAAGCTGCACGTCTCCACCGGCTCTGGCAAAGCGCCCTCCGCGCTTCCAGCTTCCATCCAGTGATCTGACGGAAGGTGAGAGGGCGATGGCGTTGGCCTTGGCCCTGACCCCTTCTCTACCGCCCTGCATGGAGGGGACACGCGGCCGGGCGGTCGGGTTCTCCCGTCCCCGCCACGCAGGCAGCCCCCCTCTCCCGGCACCAGCTCCCCTTCTGCTTGGGGAAGGCTGTGTAGGAACCCCTCTGGGAGCGCACCTGCCAACCCGATGGCCATCGCCGGACCCCCACCCTTCCTCGGGTGCCCCATCTGTGGTCTTCACGTGGAACCTGATTTCACCAAGACCCAAAAGATGCTTCCCATTCGGAAGCGGGGCCGGTGCGGGGACAGAGGGACCTCCCGCAGCTGGCCCCACATGCGGTGCAAGTGCCCGTGTCACACTCACCCTTGGAGGACTTGGCCTGGGTCTGACACGGTGCCGGTGAGGGCTGGCAGAACTGGTCCCCTCTCCTCTTGAGGAAGCAGGCCACGGCCAGGAGGAAGCAGCAGATGATGGCACAGAGGCAGAGCCCCAGTGTGCTGTAGACCAGGGCCAGCTGGTCGGCGCTCAGCTTCAGCCCTGGGGCCGGGGGGGTTGCAAGACAGCCATGAGGCGCCGAGATCAGGAGGGGCCCTTCACCTCCCAGGGCCCTTCCCTGAAGTGTCCCCTCCTCGGGCTAGCATCCCCCTTGTCCTACCATCCTTCTTTTCTCTCGTTAGACCCAAGCAAGCCACGTGGCCATCCCTGTGCCCCCTTGGAGGGCCGAGCCCCCGGCCCCCGGCCCTTGGCGTGTTGTGGATCTGTCTGGCTCCTGGAGAAGCTGGTTCCCTTCCTCACCCTGAAGCTTGGCTCGTGTGGACCCTTTTCTGGACTCCGGAAGAAATCAGCCCCCTTCCCCCCCCCAGGCTGGTGGCAACTTCTTCCAAGACCTCAGAGCTGGACACCTCTGGAGCTCGCCCTTTTTACGTCTGCTCTTGCTACAGGATGTAGATCGGGACACTACCAGCGGTGGATGGAAAAATGGACAGACTATAGTCCCGGGAAGATGTCTCTGTCTCGACCTGGGCCCTCCTGTAAGAGGGGGCCGTCCTGGGGACGCATACTTTGAGAGTGAGCCGGGCACAGTTGCTGATGAATCTGGGCTGGCAAACCAGGAGAGTCCTGGGGAGCTGGGGTGGTCACTTTTCTTCCCAGGGCCTTGAGCCTCTGGTTTGGGTGCCAGAGGAAGGCAGCCCTGAGCCGAAGCTCTCCCCTTGAAGTTTCTCCTGGCTCCTGGAATTGGGGTGCTCCGTAGGCCCCAGGTAGAAAAGGACAGATGAGCCAGAGTCAGTATGTGTGTGTGTAATAGACGCATGGTGTGGGCCCCCCACCGAGCCCTTACCATATGCAGGTGCTTCGGGCAGTGTCTCCGTAATCTGAACGAGGACTGATCACCCCACCTTTGGATATTGAGATATAACTCATATGCCATCAAATTCACCATTCTAAAGCGGGCAACTGTGGGTTTTAGTATATTCACAAGGTCGTGCAACCATCACCACTGTCTGATCTGAAGACATTTCTGTCACCCGCGTACTCCCTGGCAGTAACCCCCCATCTTCCTTGCCTCAGCCCCTGGCACCACTAAGCTACACTCCGACTCCGCGGATGTGTCTATTCTGGACACTTCACACGAATGGAATCACACGATGTGTGGCCCGTTGTGTCTGGCTTCTCTCGCTGAGCGTGTTTTCAAGGCCGATCGTCATTGTCGTGTGTGTTGGGACTTCCCTCCCTTCTGTGGCTGAATAATGTTCCATTGTACCATCACCCCTCAGTTTGTTTATCCGTCCAGCTGCCGATGGGCCTTTGGGTCGTTATCACCTTTTGCTGTTGCGAACAATGCTGCTGTGGACATTTGTGCCCAAGGGTGCGTCTGGACGCACGTTTTCAGTTTTCTGGGGTGTATACACCTAGGGGTGGAATTTCTGGGCCAGAGGGTAACTCTACGTTTAACTTTTTGAGGAAAACCCGGACGTTTTCCACCGTGACTGCACCGTTTTACACCCCGCTTTGCAGGTGACAAAACTGGGATTCAAAGTCACACTGTCCACAGTCGCAGCTGCTACTGGGGGCGGGTCTGACGGGCTCCAGGCCAGTGCTCCGGGCTGGCCACACACAGGCAGCGGGAAGGGCACTGCCCTCTTCCTTGCACACGCTCCTCAGAGTCACGATTTTTATACAGTAACAGCTGGCAGGTGCCACCTGACATTTACAGAGGGACAATGGGAGCTCTGGGTGGGCGGTGCTGGCCTTCTGTCCCCTGCCCAGAGCTCAGAGAAGCCACGGAGGAGGGGGATGCAGAGAACCCCCCAGTGCGGCTCACCGTGTGCCAGTGCTACAGATCTGGAGACTGAGGCCCGAAGAGGAAAGAGGAACCAAGGGAGGTCACAGGGCCTCGGGCGGAGCAGGCCGGCCATCCACACGTCCCAACCCCCAGGTCTTTCCGCCTGCCTACCCGCTCCTGCTCGCCTCTGGAGTAAGATGACCTCGTACAGCTGGCTTAGCAGGGGAGAGGCCGGCAGCCTCCGCATCAGGGACGGGTGCCCGGCTACCAGATTGCTAAGCACAGATGCACCGCCGCGTAGGTTCAAGGAGGGAGTCCAAACATCTGCGTATTTCAGATGTTCTTAGCACAAATTCTAACACCCAGACCTGGCAGCAAGTGCACACAGATGGTCCCCAGAGAACCACCTCCCCACAGCCTGCCCTTCAAATCAGGGCCGGGCTGGGCCTCCCTGAAACCTCAGACGGCAGAGGCCATCGGCGCCAGCCCCGCTCTGCGCCCTCCGAAGGCCCGCAGCCCCTGCTTCTGCTCTCTTGGGAGCGCTGAGCCACCCCTCTCGAGAAGGTCAGCTGGAGGGGCCACGTGGAGGCGCCCCTTGGAGAAGTCACGGGAAGAGGGGACCGCGGGGAGGAGCGAGGCCCGGCCGTCCCAGATTCAGAGCCCAGCGCCACCTGCCTGTGGCTACAAGGAGACCCCAAGCAGACACCAGACCTGCCCAGCTGAGCCCAGTAACCCACGGAACCACACAAGATAATAAAGCGGTTCTTTGGAGGCCACTAAGTTTTCAGTGGCTTTTGGGTGCTGCAGTAAACAACCAAACGGTGACAGTGCTCCTGAGGGGCTGGTCCCAGCTGCTCCTTGCCCCTCTGCCCAGACCAGCGATCTGCTGTTCCCTGCGGCCAGTGGACCTAGTTCCAGCCTGGTGATTGCCCCTAGTACATGCTCTGCAGAGTTCCTGGACCAGGACGAGGAGGGCAGGTTAAAAGTACAGATGTCCCCGGGGTGCCTGGGTGGCTCAGTCGGTTAAGTGTCCCACTTCAGCTCAGGTCATGGTCTCGCGGTTGGTAAGTTCAAGGCCCGCGTCTGGCTCTGTGCTGAGAGCTGGGAGCCTGGAGCCTGCTTCAGATTCTGTGTCTCCCTCTCCCTCTGCCCCTCGCCTGCTCGTGTTCTGTCTCTCTCTCTCTGTGTCTCTCCCCACACCTTGAAGACTTCCCCCCACACCTTCTTCCTTTTCTCTCAGGTGATTTGTGTGTGCCGTCTATTCAAAACACAGAACAGCTCGAAGCTGCTCTAGCGGTCCGCGTGTCCAAAGAACCTTGGACAAGGCGCACCAGGAGGACAGGGAAGTCATAGAGTTCCAGCAGCTGGCGGGGCCGCTAACGGGAAAGCTGTCCCCGCTGCTTCGTGTGCCACCCGAGTGAGCCCTGCACTGGGTCTGGCAGCGGTGAGCACCCAGACTCCCCTGGGGGCTGGAGGTGGGGAGTGTGCACTTCTCTGTTCTTTGTTCAGTCTCCAAGATCACTTGGGTCCACGACCTCAGAAGTGGCCTTCTGTCGACCCTCAGTGACCGGGACCCTGCAAGACAGAGAGGCCTTGCCCCGCGCCTCCCTGTCTGCCCCTCCCCCCCCCCCCACCAGCAGCAAAGGGGCACAATCAAAAGTTTTTGTGAGAAAAAGGGATGTATTCTCGGTCCTTGTCTGAAAATTGAGCCCTGGGGATACAGGCCCTGGAGGTGCAGTTCCCAGAAACCGCCACCAGGAGGCACCACTCAAAGCTTCTGGCTGCTTGGGAGCTAGGCTGGCCCTAGCCCAAGGACAGTTTATTTGCAAGCTGGGTTTTGCTTTTGTTTTGTTTCGTTTTACTGTCTTCAAAGTCCTGTCTTATCTAAAAATAGAATTGCCCCCAGACTGCTGCTGTCCCCAGCTCAGGTGGAGGCTGGCCAGCCGGTCAACATTATAACTTGTCTGTTAGGGACAGAGTTAAGGGACCTTAACATGATAACTTGTCACTTAGAGGTAGAGCAAAGGGGCCTTGTGGCCCTGGCAAGGGCTGTGCAAGAATCCAGACGCCACGGCCTCAGCTGGATGTAGCTGAGGGCAGGAAGGCATGATCTTAAGCCTGGGCCCTGCAGCCACAACTGCTTGAGGCGAACGTGGCTTTGGACATTTTACTCTGCATCCTCAGGCCTCGGTTTCCTCATCTGTAAAATGGGGAATGATATACCGATCAGCATTGTTTGGCATCCATGACGTAATACAAGTAAATACATACGAGGCAGCTGGGCCTGGGAGGACCGGCCCAGCAAAAGTCACCAGGTGTCCCCACGCTGCCACAGCTCAGCTGGCAGGGCAGTTTGTCCATAGGGGAGGAGTGGGTTTGGGGTGGCAACTGCAGGACGCCAGACACATGGGGATTTCTGCCCCTCCTCCCTCTGGGAAGACTCTGGGCGCACCTTGTGGGCTGGGGCCGTGCAGATGGCCAGCTCAGCATCCCGGACGCTCCGTTTGTCCCTCCTTCCCTCTGCACATGCCGGTGACACTTGGTCCAAAGTTTGCCTTGAGAAGGGGTTTCCTGCAGTGAGTGTGAGCCTCACTATTAGGCTATTGGGGGGCCTGCAAATGCCCATGGAAGGCCCCCCTATTGTGTGTGTGTGTGAGTGTGTGTGTGCGTGTGTGTGTGTGAGAGAGAGAGAGAGAGAGAGACACACACACACACACACACACTTGGCTGCCATTTTGGGAGACAATTTGGGAAAGGATGGGGGCTCTGTTTCCAGAATACCACATCCCCCCCATTCCTCAAACCCCCTCATCAGGGCCTGGGATCCCCGAGTCCCCATTCTTTCTGGGGCCACCTCCTCTGAGAGTGACCCTCCATCCTGCTGGGGGAAGGGCTCCTACACAGACTTGGCCACTGCTCCCGTGCAGCCCCTCTCCCCAGCCCTGGATCAGGCCCATCGGCCTTTCCACTTGCTCAACCTGCTCCAACTGACGAAGGAAGCCTCCTGCCCCCCCGGGCTCTCCCTCCCGCTACTGCCCAATTTCCCCACGGTCCTCTCCGTGCCTTCACGTCTAGGTCACTGGTCCACGCTCCCTACTCTGGCTTCTGCCCCTGTGTTTTATCAAGAGGGTTTCAGTGAGGACCTCAGCTTCGGCCCAGGGGAGAGGGGCATGTGGGGCCTGTCACGGTGGGGTGGGGCTGCACTGCGTCCCCTGAGGGAACAAACGAAAAGCCAAGCATAAGACCAAACCCCAGGGCCACCCTGTGGAGCTGTGGTTCCCAAACCAAAGGAAACCCTGAGCGATTCCTGGGACAAAGGTGGCGTCCTCCCCGACCCCCAAATCCTTCTATGGCTGTGACCCCCAGTGAGAAAACGGCTGTTCCCCACCCTGCACACGTGACCGGCAAATGCACGAGTCCCTGTGTCTCTTTTCCTTAAAGGCCTGTCGTGCTTCCCGTTTGCAGAGCCGGCGCTCCAGCTCCGACCGCCTTGGGCCTTTTCTCCCTGGGGTGCGTGTGCCCCACAGCTCGGCGCTGCCCCCCAGCCTGGACGCTGCGGACGCCCGGCTCCCACGCGCCCTCACCTCCTCCAGCCTTGGCGCCCCCGCCTGTGATCGTCACGGTGGGGCTGTGAGCTCCAGGCCCGGCTTCCTAAGCTGCTCAGTGAACACGCGGGGCCCTGGCGGGCAGTCTGTGCCCCTGTGTCCCCCACCCTGCCCCTGCGCATTCCCATCTGGTGGAATGAGGTTGAAACGGACTGATGGGAGATGTTGAAGGCCTGATAAGGGATCGGACTGAGCATGGAAAGGGAGAGGAAGAGGCCTCATGGACGGTAAGAGAGGGGCTCCCTGCCTCGTCCCCCACCATTTCCTCAGGTCAGGACCGCCTCCACCCAGGGACGCCTGAAAATGGCCCTTCAGAGGGTCCTCTGACCTCACTGTGGCCAGAACTGGTGGGCGGGCACTCACTGACCCCAGTGAGCGTTCTCCTGTACTCTGCACAACAGCCCCACGAAGGTGTGTGGCCCCATTCTCACAGAACCAAGGCTCAGAGAGGTGAAGGAACTTGCTCACGGTCACACAGCGAAGGATGGAACCAGGGTCTGGCTCCGCAGCCCCACCCCCCATCACTCCAGTCTGCCCCAAGCCCCCTCCCCCCAGAGAAGGCTGCCTTGCCCCGCATCGCACCCCTGGCCGGGTTACGTTGCCACCACGCACCGCGATTAATTTACCATTTGCGTGAGTCTTGTCTATGTCTGACTCTCCCGTCAGATTGGGACTTCTCCCATGGGGCCGGGGACAGGATTTGTCGTGCTCGGGACACCTCATGTCACATGAAGGAAGGAATGACAACCTGGGAGGGACCCGTGAGAGACCCCGAGTAGGGTTGAGGTGGGGCCTGGCGGGGGTGGGAGTGAGTGGGGTGGGTGGCCGGATTTGTGGAGCCCACAGGGGACGGGATCACATCAGCTCCGCCACTGGCTGCAGCCAGAGGCAAGCTTGGTCACGTGACATGCTGTAGTCCACGCCCTCGAACAGGTCCACACCTGGTCCTCCCGGGTTTACAATCCATGCCAAGCCCAGCTCCTGCCCCACCAGCACACCCAGGTGTCAGAGGACAGAGAAGAAGGGACCTTAAACCCCAGGCCTCTGGAGAGACTCGGGCCTGGGGCGGGGCACAACAAGACGGTCTTTAACTCCCTGAGTCCCTGGGAGGGCGCGTGGTGTCCCCTGGCTGTGGTATGCATGGGGCCGCTAATGCTGCAGGGTCAGGTATGACTCGCCCCCCCCCCCCACCATGTCCTTACACACCCCCATCCACACATCCTGGGGGATCTATTCCTGGAGCCCAGATGAGGCTCCCAGATTCTACCCGGTGCCCTGTAGGGATGGGGCTTGCGATGGGTCATCACAGACAGGAATAGCTAATCGTGTCCCACGGACAACGGGTTACCCTCAGGAAGTGATAACCCCGTGCATGCCACCCTGGGAGTTTGGCTCCAGCAGAGGGGATACGCTTTGGGACCCCCAGACTTGGCCTCGATCTCAGCTCAGCTTTGCTCATGAACTCATCGCACAACTCGCAGCAAGTAACCCTAAACTCTGAGACTCCATTTCTTGATCCATAAAATGGGTGGGATTGATCTGAAGGGGACTCTAGTGCATCAGAGGTGGGAAAGTTCTGGGTCTGGCTGGAAGAATCCAAATACACCGCCAACGGCAGGCTAGACACACAGGTCACAGACAGACACCGGAGGAACGGGGGTGCCCCCCCCAGCCCCACTTCATGGCCCCGTACACCGCTCCCTCTGTATCCACGTCCTCTGCATGCGGATCTGCAGTTCTCATGAGAAGGATGCTGTGCTAGATTAAAATCAGCCACAACCTCACCGTGGCTGCAAATTCTTGGTCTCTCCTCCCACCAAAAGGTGGCATCTCTTTCCCCATCCTTGAATCTGATCGGCTTTGCAACTTGAGTGATAGAAGGTAGCAGTGATGATACAATGCGTGTCCCCAGCCTAGGCAGCTGGAAGCCTGGTGTATTTCTACCTCTTGCACTCCTGCCGTCATCACGAGAAGGACACGCCTTGCCAGCCTGCTGGCCCCAGGAATAGGAAGAGAGTTCCATGGAGCAGACCCACGTCTAGCTGAGCCAGCTGAACACAGCTGACCCCAGCCAAAATCCAGATACAGAAGAATAATAAGGCACTGAGTTTTGGGACTGCTTGTTACACAGCAACAGCTCACTGACAGGAGAACAGAAAAGAGTAAAAGACAACAGTCTAACCGAGTAGAACACGGAGCTGGGCAACCTCCATTATCAGGGTGCACGACACCTGTCCTTTGGTGTCTTGGCACTAAGCTCTGGCATCACAGAAATGATGTCATTGTGAGGAAAGTCACAGCACAGAAAAGAAACGAATCGGGGCCCCAGGGGCCTTCAGGACTATTGTCTCTCCCCTGACAGGCCAAGAGCAGCGTAACTATCTCAAGTGTTTATGGATCCACGTGCCACCCCCCCTCCCATTCTTTCCGACACCACGAGCAGGGCGGGTAAGCCAAGAGGTGTTTTCTGGGAGGATCATTAAACACTTCCAATGCTTGGCACGTGGTAGATGTCCGGTTCAAGGGACCCTTCTCACCATATCCCAAGTGGCCAACCCCCAGCATAAGTTGTGTTGTGATATTTCGGTCCCTCTCATTCTTAGGAAGTGCCCGTTGTGTCTAACTGGAATCAGAGACCTTGCTCACAAGGTCAGCTCTGCTGGTTAGCTGCTGCCCATGTTTTAAGAGCTCATTTAGCCTCCGTTATAAGACTCTCAATGACCAGGTCTTTCCCCCTCCCAATCCTCCCCCACCTTCCTTCTGGCCCACAGACTTCTAGATCTTTTGCCTAAAATTTTTTCTACCCTGTGATGACCCTCCCCTGCCTTCTGGCCATTTGCCCTGACTCTGCGCTTCCTGCTTTGCAGACCCTCCTCGTGGAGGCTTGGCACGGGCCCTGCTTCCTGCTCTGACCCTCAGGCACCGTGCAGGCCGGCCTCAGGGGGCTTACCTGGAACTGGCTCGGAGCCTCTGTGCTCTGTTCCCTGGTACCTCCCCAAGCCGTCTGGCCTGGTTTCAGCTTCCCCGGCCCGCTGTCTCCTGAGCTCTGGCGGGAGGTTCGCGTGGCTCCTGAACTTGTTCTCACAGAAGTACGTGCATTGCTTGGGGTGACGTCCGCAGATGGAGGCACAGCTGATGCAGTCCCTCAGGAGCTGGTCGTAGTACCTGCCTTGCTCCTTGTGGCAGCTGAGTGACTCTGGGGGACAGAAACGAGCGGTGCTGCTGGGAGACAGGGACCTGCGGGACCCGTGAATCTGGCCTCCAAGGGCTTCACAGTTGTAAAAAAAATCACAGGGCGCCTGGGTGGCTCAGTCGGTTGAGCGTCCTACCTCGGCTCAGGTCACGATCTCACGGTTTGTGGGTTCGAGCCCCGCGTCGGGCTCTGTGCTGACAGCTGACAGCTCGGAGCCTGGAGCCTGCTTCCGATTCTGTGTCTCCCTCTCTCTCTGCCCCTCTCACACTCTGTCTGTCTCTCTCTCTGTCTCAAAAATAAATAAACATTGGGATGCCTGGGCAGCTCAGTTGGTTAAACGTCCAACTTCAGCTCGGGTCACGATCTTGTGGTTTGTGAGTTCGAGCCCCACGTCAGGCTCTGCGCTGACAGCTTGGAGCCTGGAGCCTGCTTTGGATTCTGGGTCTCCCTCTCTCTCTGCCCCTCCCCCACTCACACTCTGTCTCTCTGTCTCTGAAAAATAAATAAACATTAAAAAAATTAAAAATATAAATAAACATTAAACAGAAAAATCACAATGCAATTCCCCGGAAGAAATTCCAGAGTGATGCAAGGCCTTTCCCAATACGTGAGTGGAAGGCTATACATTGTCCAATAAATACTGTCTTAGCTACAATATATACTTTTGATCCGTAGTATTTTTCCTATATTTACTTTACCCTATTTTTACTTTTCATTATTACTTCTTCTTTGACCTATAGATTATTTAAAAGTGCCTTTCCTGGGGCACCTGGGTGGCTCAGTCGGTTAAGCATCCGACTCTTGATTTCGGCTCCAGTCATGATCTCCTCACAGTTCATGAGTTCAAGCCCCACCATGGCCTCCATGCTGACAGTGCTGAGCCTGCTTGGGATTCTCTCTCTCTCTCTCTCTCTCTCTCTCTCTCTGCCCCTCCCCTACTTGCACACACAGGCACCGGCTCTTTCTTGTCCTCAAAGTAAATAAATAAAACTTAAAAAAAAAAACCACAACAACTTAAAAAGTGCATTTCTTAGCTTCTAAACGTAAGAATTTTCTAGTTATCTTTTACAATTGAAGTCTGGGTTGTTACATCATCACATAAGTCGTGTACTTGCATTTTCCCAACTTCATAAAGGTGTAACCTTTCATATTAACATAAGGATTGGAGGAGGAGGCCAGAAACCACCTTGGCAAGTTGAGGGAGGGGGCTGGAAGGGAGAGGGAAAAGCTCAAATGAATAGTGTTTCTTTTGTCGTAATGAGTGAGAATTAGAAAACAGGGGTCAGTGCCAAGGAGCAGAGGCCACGCAAACTACAGCTTAATCACACTTGCTGTAAGAGAGGAATTTTTAAAAGATGTTTATTTTTGAGAGAGAGAGAGAGAGAGAGAGAGAAGAGATGGGTGGGGGACAGAGGATCTGCGGCAGGCTCTGAGCTGTCAGCAGAGATCCCGATGCGGGACTCGAACTCACAAACCATGAGATCATGACCTGAGCTGAAGTCGGATGCTTAACCGACTGAGCCACCCAGGCGCCCCTCAGAGAGCAATTTTGAGTGCATAACAGCAATCTATACTTTCACAGGGCAAGTTTCCCTTGTCTTACAATAAGATTCTATTTCTGTGAAAATGGGACTCACACAGATCTTTAAGGGCACATTCCAGAGGCAGTGCCAGATAGAGGGTAAGAACACAGACTTCAAGGTCAGACAGGTTTAAGAGCATCCCTAGCCCTACCTTTGAGGGTTGTGGGGTCTTAGCCTCTCCATGCCTCAGTTTCCTCACTTCCAGGACAGAGGTAATAATAATATTGACATCTTAGAGTGGCTATGAGGATTTGAAGTTCCCGGGACAGTGCCCGATGCATGATAAGAAATTTGGGTGAATGGGAGGTTTAAGTAGAATATTCATTGGTGCCTCTTTGCAGCACAAACACACCAGCTCTTATGTCCTTGACCGAAGAAAGGAAAAGACCAGGAAGACGGTCGACCTGGGATCTCAGGGAAGATTCAGATGGGACCGGTGACCTCCCCCTGCCCTGTCTCTGCCCCGGGGTCCCACTAAGTCACATAGGACCACTGGCTCCGCCACTCATGAGACAGAGTTGACATGAGGGCAGTGGTGTTCCCGGGGTCTTATGTGTGGACCCCCTCCCCTCCTCAGGGCCCCCGGCGTGGCTGTTGCAGGTGCTGTCTGAGCTCCCCAGACCGCCAGCCCTCACTGCCCAACCCCATAAACTTCCCCTATGACCTTGATATTTCCTATTGTGTTTTCTGCCTCCCTGCCTTTGCCCATACTGGTCCTTCCTGGAGTGCCCTGCCCCCCCGCATCTGACTGCCGCGTCTACAGACCCTTAATAATCTATCTCCGGTGCGCTTACTCCAAAAATGTTTCCCTGGCCCCCAACCCATCAGCCGGGGGAGCGTCTCTCCCAACTGTAGCGTTTTATGGTACTTTACTCTTCTCCCCCGAATTGTAGTTATTTCTCCCGTCAGATGATAGCCCCTTCAAAGGATCACATCAGTTTCCTATTTTCAAGGGGGCTAGAGAGTTCCATGAATATTCGTGGAATGACACAATGAATATTCTACCTCCTAATGATAGAAGAGTCAACCGTGAATAGTTTAGAGTCATGGCTTTGGAGTCAGAGAGTCCTGGTTCAAATCCTAACTTTTCCATCATTATGCTGTGTGACCTTGGGCAAGTAACTCAGCCTCTCTGAGCTCCACTCAATCAGTATTTATGAATCGCTTACTATGTTTCAGTCACGGTGCTAGGCTCAAAAGGAGTTCACGGACTGATGGTTGAGGTATCCATGAAACAAATACACACAAAAGAACGTAACACAAATCATGAGAAGTTCCATCAAGGAAAAAAAACAAGTTATGAAAAAGAATAACAAACACGGGCACCTGGGTGGCTCAGTCAATTAAGCGTCCAACTTCCGCTCAGGTCACGATCTCACAGCTGGTGGGTTCGAGCCCCGCGTCGGGCTCTGTGCCGACAGCTCAGAGCCTGGAGCCTGCTTCACATTCTGTGCCTCCCTCTCTCTCTGCCCCTCCCCTGCTCACACTCTCTCTTTCAAATATAAACAAACATTGAAAATAAGAGAATAGCAAGCGGAATATCTTTTTTCAAGACAATCAGAAAAACTTGGATATAGCCTGAGTACAGATGATGCTAAGGAATTATTGCTGTGGGTGACGAGATATTAAGGTTATATTTTGAAGGCCTTTATGTGTTGGGGATTCATGATCTCGTATTTACAGGTAAAGTTACATGAGCTCTTAGATTTGCTTTAAAATGCACAAGCAAAAAAGAAAAATGGTTGGGGAATAAAAAGGCAGAATCTATAAAGCTCATGATGGGTAGATAGGGACTTATTATGCTATCCTCTGTGATAGTTCCTGTAATAAAAGTTTCAAAAGCAAGTCAGAACAGAAAATGACAAAGGGGGATTTAATATATTAGGCCATCAGATAAGACCTCTGACATTTGGCCTGAGACCTGAAGGTTGGTTGAATAGGAGGGAGCTGAGGGAAGAATAACAGGGAAAGGCATTCTAAGCAGAGGATACAACATGTGCAAAGGCCCCGAGGCAGGAAGAAACACAGCATGTTCAAGAAACGGCAAGGAGGCCAGCGTGGCCAGAGCAGAAAGACCCAGGGGTAAAGGGGTGCCACAGTGTACATCTCCTCCCCCCACCTCCTTCTCAGGCACCCAAGTGCAATGGGCCAGGGGGATCTCTGCAGGGAAGGAAGGGGTGATCCAGCCCATGGGGCTCAGGCCCCAGAACTCACTGCAGAATGCTGCACAGGTGCGTGGAATCTGATGGCTGCAGATGAGTTTGCAGGAGAGGCAGATGTTCAGTAGGGGATCCCAGTACTGTTCTTCGGGGCACTGACCCATGGCCACCCCCATCCGCAGGCCCTGTGGAGCTGAGAGGCAGGGAGCATGAGGGTAGCTGGCACCCTGCCGTAGGTCAGAACCCAGCCTCTCCCACTCACATTCCTACTCTGTCCCGGCACGCAGAGGGGGAACCAGACAAAGCTAGCTTCCAACCCCAGCTGCACCTGCTGGGTGACCTGGGGCAACCAACCATCTCAAGTCCCCAAACCTCAGTTTCCCCATGTGTGAGGTGGCAGTTCTGGGGCCGCCGTTCTTGCACCAGCTGTGCCCTTCTCATCCTCGTTCTTTGTCCTGTCTAATGTGCCTCTTTCTACCACGGTGCCTTCTCACCTGCTTGTCCCTTTGCATAAAATGCCCTTCTTCCCTCTCTGCTGGTAATTTTTTCCTGATCCTTTAGGTCACTGTTTCAATTTCATTTCCTCAGAAAAGCCCGGCTCTCTTCCCAGATTAGGACGCTCCTCTTCTTCTGCACTACTTGGCCCTGTTTTCACTTCACTTTTAGGACTGGGACTGTTTGATAGTGTCTCCCCCATCAGCTGTGAGCATCACGCAGGCAAGGACTCTAATTTTTTTTTGTTCACTGCTTGGCCCTCAGAACCTAGATAATGCCTAGGACCTATGAGGTGCTCATTAGGCGAATAAAAAGAAAAGCAGATCCAGCCAGTGCCTAGCATACAGCAAGCATTCAATAAATGTCAACGTCCTTGCCCTTCTCTTCTTTTACTGCGGCATGAGACACACAAAATGACGTGTGTACACTGCACAGGCCTTAGGTGTACGACTTGATGAATTTTTCCATATGTATACACCTGTGTCACAACCCACATCAAGGCCTAGAAATTTCTGGCTCCCTGAAGACTCTCTTGGGTCCCCTCCCGTCCAATACTCCACTTCCGCCGGTAACTTCTATCCTGGCTTTTATCCCTGTAGGTCGTTGACATTGCCCATCCTTGAACTTTTGTGTCTGGTTGTTGGCTCCGCACGATATCTGGGACACATTCTCTGTTGAGGCTCTATCAGTCATTTGCTTTGTATTGACGAGTCTCCCATTTTATGAATGCACCAGGTTTTCTCGAATTTTCTGCCTGATTTCCTGGTATTAGCTTCTCCAAAACGATATTTATCCTCAAAGGGAAAGAGAGCGGAAGAAGTTACTGCACCAGGAGACAGATGTGAGCGACATTTGGGAATATGGAAGGCACGTGGACTGGGGTGACTGACTTCAGTTAAAGGTCTCTTTTCTCTGATGCCCGCAGGGAGAAGGAAGCTGACTTGAGCCACAGAACCCCAGGAAGCCTCTGGAACTGGAGGGACCAAGTACCTCTGACAACGGGAGATGGGAACGCAAAACAATGAAGGAAAGACTGGCTGAAAATGCACAGAAAGACAGCTTGACCCCAGCTGGATTCCACCGCCAGGCAGGTAACAGCCTCTCACCAACCCCAGCAGAAGATTTGGTGTCTTCTCAGGCGCAGCTGAGGGCAGCCCTAAGGTCCACACTCCCCAAAATACTACCCAAGGAGTAGTGTGACCATGTTTTTAAAAAACGTCTCCCTCCCCATCCAGCAACTGGCGGGGAATCAACAGACCCTTCTCTGGGAAAACCGACCCAGAGGAAAAGACCCAAAAGCACTAACTGGGAGATTCTCTCAAGAAAATGACCAAGTTTGCTGCTTGACCCTCTGAGAGCAAAGCTTCTGCATTAACAACCCCATTCGTGTACCCAGAACTTCCAACAGCTGTTTCTGCCTTAATCTGAGTTTGAGCCAAAAGCCACAGGTCACCCGATATTGGAGTGCCACCCCTACATGAAAGAGAACTCAAACAAAGCCAGCATGCTGGGAGCCAAGAGAGACAATGCAAGGAACTGGACAAAATTAAAAGGCAACAATAGCAACAGTTGATATTGATACTGAGAGATGAATTTTTACATTCATGAAAAAGAATGGAGTACTGTCTTTAAAAAAGAATATGCAGGGGCGCCTGGGTGGCTCAGTCGGCTAAGCGGCCGACTTCGGCTCAGGTCACGATCTCGCGGTCCGTGAGTTCGAGCCCCACGTTGGGCTCTGTGCTGACAGCTCAGAGCCTGGAGCCTGTTTCCGATTCTGTGTCTCCCTCTCTCTCTCTGACCCTCCCCCGTTCATGCTCTGTCTCTCTCTGTCTCAAAAATAAATAAACGTTAAAAAAAAATTTAAAAAAAAGAATATGCATAGAACAACTGAGAATTATTAGACATTAAAAATATAACAGCCAGAATATAAACATCAGTAGAAGGGGTTGCAAGATGTAATTGAAGAAACTTCCTAGAAAATAGGGAGAGAAAAGATACGACAATTGTAGAATCACTTCAGGAAGCCCAGAGGTTGATTAAATGGGAGTTCCAGACCTCAAGGATACAGCTTCCAGATTCAAAGAACCAGTCGGGTGTCTGGCACAATAAATTCTCACAAGCCATGACCCATCATCATAAAATGTAGGAGGACCAGAGATTAAGAGCAGGTGCTAAAACCTTCTCGAGAACAAGCAGGCTACCCACAGAGTTCCGTTAGGAAGTCAGTGGAGATCCCAAATCAACACTGGGATGTGAGAAGGCAGGGCAGACGGCAGAGTAGAAGCGCCAGTAATCTGCCCTCCCGCCTAACAGATGTTGAGCTGGCAGCAACCATCTGAAGTGACTGTTTTGGAAGTTATCCCAGGGAGAACTGGAGGAAGAGGCTGGTACATTTTTGGAATTTTGGTGCATCTCAATGTATTTCATGGTGGTGGCTAGCATCCCTTGGTCTCCAACCCCATGTGTGCCACCGTGCAGGCAGCTGCTCACGTTGCCGGTGAAACTTGCTGGGACCCCGATGGGTGAGGAGGACCTTGTCCTCCAAACATTGGGGTTGTAGGTTCGGATTGCTGTTTGCTGCTTTTGATCAGTGAGGGGCTGGCCCAGAGGTTGGTGACCATTGTTTCAACCCCCAACGGCTGAGGTGGCTTCCAGGGAATTTAAAAGAGATAGTGCTCTTCTCCCCCCGGCTCTTGGGAGCCAGACATTTAAGGAAATCCTTGTCCGGTCACTGGCTGACTGCAGAGATAAAGGAACAGCAACTTCAGTGACCACACACAATAAATACATACTTTGCAAAAATAGTTTGGAAAAGCCACAAATGGATTCCAGCCATCAACAAGCAAAATACAGTAATCCCTGAGAAACGGGAGAATTAGAATTACTACAACAGAGTACTCAAAATATCCAGTTCTCAGAAAACTTACGAAACATACGAAGAAATGAGAAAATATGGCACATTTACAGAAAAAAGAATTTGACAGAAATTATCCCTGAGGAAGCCCAGACGTTGGAAATATTAGTCAAAGATGTTAAATCAACTGTCTTAAGTATATTCAATGCCTAAAGAAAATCATGGGCAAAAAACTAAAGGAAATCAAAAAATTATGTATGAATGAAGTATGAGAATATGAATAAAGAGATAGAAGTTGTAAAACGGGAACCAAAACTTGGAAGCAAGCAAGGTTTCCTTCAGTAAGTAAATGGATAAATAAACTGTGGTACATCCAAACAATGGAATTTACTCAGCACTAAAAAGAAATGACTTATTGGGGCACGTGGGTGCCTCAGTGGGTTAAGCGTCCAACTTCAGCTCAGGTCATGATCTCATGGCTCGTGGGTTCAAGCCCTGCACTGGACGCTGGGCTGACAACGCAGAGCCTGGAGCCCGCTTCAGATTCTATGTCTCGCTTTCTGTCTCTCTGCCCCTATGATCTTTCTCTCTCTCTCTCTCTCTCTCGCTCTCAAAAATAAATATTAAAAATTTTTTAAAAAAAGAAATTGAGTTATCAAGCCATGAGAACACATGGAGGAATCTTAACTGCATATTACTAACTAAAAGAAGCCACGCTGAAAAGGCTACTACTGCATGATTATAGCTATCTGACATCCTAGAAAAGGCAAAACTATGGAAACAGTAGAAAGATTAGTGGCTGTTAGGGGTTGGGGAAGGGAGCACGGAAATTATTCTGTTTGATACTGTCATGGTGGATACATGTCCTTCTACGTTGATGAAATCCCGTAGAATGTACGACGCCAAAAATAAACGTTAGTGTAAACTTATGGACTTTGGGTGATAACGATGTATTAACACAGGTTCATCCGTTGTAACAAATGTACCACTTTAGTGCAGGATGTTCATCGTATAGGACGCTGTGCATGTTTGGGGGAATGAGGTATAGGAGGACTCTCTGTACTTCCCACTTGATTTTTCCATGAACCCAAAACTATTCTAAAAATAGCCTATTAAAAATGGAAACAGGGGCACCTGGGTCGCTCAGTCGGTTAAGCATCTGACTCTTGATTTTGGCTCAGGTCATGATCTCATGGTTCATGAGATCAAGTCCCACGTCGGGCTCTGCTTTAACAGCACAGAACCTGCTTGGGATTCTCTCTTTCCCTCTCTCTGTGACCATCCCCTGCTTGTGTTTGGTCTCTCTCTTTCTCTCTGTCTCTGTCTCTGTCTCTCAAAATACATTTTTATAATTTTTTTAAAATAAAAAGATGGAAACAAAAAAATTCTGGAATTGAAAAATCTAATAACTGAAATGAATAAAGGTCACTAAAGGGGCTCAACAACAGATTTGAGAAGGCAGAAGAAAGGACAATTGAATTGCTTAGTCTGAGAAGCAGAAATTTTTAAAAGTGAGGAAAAGTGAACAGAACCTGAGGGACTTGTGGGGCCCCATCAAACATGCCACCATAAATTTTTAGGAGTTCCAGAAAGAGAGAGGAAGAGAGAGAGAGAGAGAGAGAGAGAGAAGGACATAATACTTGAAAAAAAAAATAAGGCTGAAAACTTCTCAAATCTTAGGAAAGACATAAATGTATGTTCAAGAGCCTCAATGAACTCTAAATAAGGTAAATTCAAAGAGCCCAATGCTGAGACACATTGTAATCAAAACGTGAGAATTGTAAAAGTTGCAACATAGAAACAACTTTTCACATACAAGTAACCTTCAATAAAATTAACAGCTA